TTGTTTTATGAATCTGGGTGCTCCTGTATTAGGTGCATGTATATTTAGTATAGTTAGCTCTTCTTGTTGCATCGATTCCTTTACCATTATGTAATGCCTTTCTTTGTCTTTTTTTAATCTTTGCTGGTTTAAAGTCTGTTTTATCAGAGACTAGGGTTGCAACCCGTGCTTTTTTTTTTTTTTTCCTTTCCATTTGTGTTGTAAATATTCCTCCATCCCTTTATTTTGAGCCTATTTGTGTCTTTGCACATGAGATGGGTCTCCTGAATACAGCACACCAATGGATCTTGACTCTTTATTCAATTTGCTGGGTTGTGTCTTTTAATTGGTACATTTAGCCCATTTACATTTAAGACTAATATTGTTACATGTGAATTTGATCCTGTTATCATGATGCTAGCTGGTTATTTTGCACATTAGTTGGTGCAGTTTCTTCATAGTGTTGTTGCTCCTTATATTTCGGTATGCTTTTGCAGTTGCTGGTACCAGTTTTTCCTTCCCATATTTAGTGTTTCCTTCAGGAGCTCTTGTGAGGCAGGCCTCGTGGTGACAAAAATCTCTCAGCCTTTGTTTATTTGTAAAGAATTTTATGAAGCTTGGTTTGGCTGGATATGAATTTCTGGGTTGAAAATTATTATTTTTTTAAATGTTGAATATTGGCCCCCACTGTCTTCTGTTATAGAGTTTCTGCAGAGAGAACCGCTGTTAGTCTGATGGGCTTCCCTTTGTTAGTAGCCTGACGTTTTGTATGGCTGTTCTCAACCTTTTTTTTTTTTGGTTTGAACCTTGGTGAATCTGACAATTAATTTGTCTTGGGGTTGCTCTTCTTGAGGAGTATCTTAGTAGTGTTCTCTGTATTTCCTAAATTTGAATGTTGGTCTGTCTTGCTAGAATGGGGAAGTTCTCCTAGATAATATCCTGAAGTGTGTTCAGGTACACCAGTCATAGGTTTGCTCTTTTAAGATAGTCCCATATTTCTTGGAGGCTTTATTCATTCCTTTTCATTCTTTTTTCTGTAATCTTGTGTTTATGCTTTATTTCATTAAGTTGATCTTCAATCTCTGATATCATTTCTTCCACTTGATTGATTTGGCTATTGATATTTGTGTATGCTTCACAAAGTTCTTGTGCTGTGTTTTTCAGCTCCATCAGGTCATTTATGTTCTACTATAAACTGGTTATTCTAGTTAGCAGTTCCTGTAACCTTTTATCAAGGTTCTTAGCTTCCTTGCATTGGGTTAGAACATGCTCCTTTAGCCGAAAGAGTTTGTTATTACCCACATTCTGAAGCCTACTTCTGTCAATTAGTCAAACTCATTCTCTGTCCTTTTGTTCTCTTGCTGGCAAGGAGTTGTGATCTTTTACAGGAGAAGAGGCATTCTGGTTTTTGGAGTTTTCAGCATTTTTATGCAGGTTTTTCCTCATCTTCATGGATTTATCTACCTTTGATGCTGATGACCTTTGGATGGGGATTTGCATGGGCATGCTTTTTGTTGATGTTGATGTTATTGCTTTCTGTTTGTTAGTTTTTCCTTCTAACAGTCAGGCTTCTCTTGTAGAGGTCTGTTCGAGTTGGCTGGAGGTCCACTCCAGACCCTGTTTGCCTGGGTATCAGCAGTGGAGGCTTCAGAACAGTAAAGGTTACTGCCTGCTCCTTTCTCTGGAAGCTTCATCCCAGAGGAGCACATGCCAGATGCCTGTCAGAGCTCTCCTGTATGAGGTGTCTGTCAACCCCTGCTGGGAGGTATCTCCCTGTCATACAGCACAGGGGTCAGGGACCCACTTGAGGAGACAGTCTGTCCCTTAGCAGAGCTCAAGCACTGTGCTGGGAGATCTGCTGATCTCTTCAGAGCTGACAGGAGGAAACATTTAAGTCTGCTGAAGCTGTGCCCATAGCTGCCTCTTCCCCTAGGTGCTCTGTTCCAGGAGGATGGGAGTTTTATCTATAAACCCCTGACTAGGGGTGCTTCCTTTCTTTCAAAGATGCCCTGCCCAGAGAGGAGGAATCTAGAGAGGCAGTCTGGCTACAGTAGCTTTGCCATGCTATGGTGGGCTCCGCCCAATCCAAACTTCCCTGAGGCTTTATTTACCTGTGAAGGAATACCGCCTACTCAAGCTTCAGTTATGGTGGATACCCCTTCCCCCACCAAGCTTGAGTGTCCCAGGTCAACTTAAGACTGTTGTGCTGGCAGGGAGAATTTCAAGTTGGTGAATCTTAGCTTGATGGGCTCCAGAGGGGATGGGACCCACAGAGCAAAACCACTTGGCTCCCTGGTGTCAGCCCCCTTTCTAGAGGAGTGAATGGTTTTGACTTGCTGGGGTTTGAGGCATCACTGGGTTACAAAAGAGAACTCCTGCAGCTAGCTCAGTGTCTGCCCCAAGGGCCACCCAGTTTTGTGCTTGAAACACAGGGCCCTGGTAGTGTAGGCACCTGAGGGAATCTCCTATTCTGCTGGTTGCAAAAACCATGGGAAAAGCATAGTACATGGGCCAAATAGCACCCTCCCTCATGGCACAGTCCCTCACGGCTCCCCTTGTCTAGGGGAGGGTGTTCCCTGATCCTTTGTGCTTCTAGGGGTGGGGGCAACACCCTACCCTGCTTCTGCTCACCCTCTCTGGGCTACACCCACTCTCTAAACAGTCCCAATGAACTGGGTACCTCAGTTGGAATTACAGAAATCACCTGTCTTCTGCATTGTTCTCACTGAGAGGTGCAGACCAGAGTTTTTATTATTCTGCCATCTTGCTGAGTTATCCTCTAGATTCTTTTTAGTATAGATCTTTCAGTAGTATTTTTGTTTGTTTGTTTTTGAGACAAAGTCTCACACTGTTGTCCAGGCTGGAGTGCAGTGGCGTGATCTCATCTTACTGCAACCTCCACCTCCTGGGTTCCAGTGATTCTCCTGCCTCAGTCTTCTGAGTAGCTGGGACTACAGGCGCATGCCACCACACCCAGCTAGTTTTTGTATTTTTAGTAGAAACAGGGTTTCCACCATGTTGGCCAGACTGGTTTCAAACTCTTGGCCACAAGTGATCCACCTGCCTCGGCCTCCCAAAGTGCTGGGATTACAGGAGTGAGCTACTGCACCCAACCAACTCTGTTTTTAATTGTTAAGAATGTTTGCCTATTAACCTCACTCTTGAAAAAAAATTATTATCCTCTGTACACAGTCCTAGGAATCTATTTTTCTCAGCTCTTTCAGGATATTATTTTGCTACTTTCTGCCTTTTATTATTGCTCGTAAGGAGTATGTTATTGGTCTTACTGTCATTCCTTTATACATGATGTATCTTTTCTCTCAGGCCACTTTTACATTTTGCTCTTTGGGATTCTGCAGTTTTTCTACAGTATGTCTAGGTGTTGCCTTTTTAAAAAAAATCCCATTTGGTATGCATTCTAACTATCGTATCTCAGTTCTGCCAAACATATGTAGCTGTTATCTTTAAATATCACCTCTCCTTCATTCTCTCTACTCTTGCTTTTAGTGTGTGCAATTATATATATTTTAAGCCTTTTTATCTTATCCTCCATGTCTTTTAATTTCTCTTTTATATTCTCATGTCCTTGTCTCTTTCTGCTGCATCCCAGGTAATGAAATCAGATCTGTCTTCCAGTTTACTAAATCTTTCTTCAAATAAGTCTATTCTGTTGTTTACCCTATCCATTGAACCTTTAATCTAAATGATTCTATTTTTCACTTCTGAAAGTTCTATTTGGTTCTTTTTCAAATCTGCCTGGTAATTTTGATAATGCCTGCTACAAAGATCCAGTCAAAAAATTAATTAATGTTGTAAACTGTCCATTTACAGAGATATCAAACTGAATCACCAGTAAATACGTGATTTTAAAATCTCAACCCTGTTCATAAATGAACTACAAGTTAAAACAGCAGTGAAATGTCTTTCATAACCATAAGAGAAAAATGCAGTCAGCTTGATAATACCAAATGATTAATTTGTGCCAGCAGGAGGGAAATAAAAATTTTTACATATTTTCATGGGTGTGTTAATTGATAAGACCATTTGGAGAGTGATGTGACAATATCTATTTGAAGATATCCTTCATCCCAGTACTTCCCCTTCTGTGTATCTAGGCTATGGAAAAACCTCACACATGTGCCAGCCACAAGGGACATGTAAAGGAAACATTAATTGCAGCATTATCTGTAATAGTGAAAGAAAAGTGGCAATAGCCTAAATGTCCATCAGTAGGAAAATAGATAGCTAAATTATGGTTTATTTAAGCACCTTAATAATTGAACCAGTACCAACATAGATATCCAAAGTATATTGTTGAAAGAAAGAATTGCCAAAGGATGTATGTACATTGCCATAATGTAAATATTGAAAACACACATACAAAATTTATGTATTGTTGATGGATACATATGTATGTACAAAAGTGTAATATATACATCCTTAGTTGAACCATAACAGAAACTAAAGCATATCAGGCAAAATGTTGACACTTTTTAATTTAGATAATTAGTATAAAATGATTATTATATTCTTTTTTGTACTTTTTATAATTTAATATGAAAATAATTTTTTAAAGATTTAGGCTTTGTACTTTTTTCTGAATTTATCACTTGTGCTGAGAGAGAATGTAGTGGTCTTATTTAGAAAATTCCTCAGTTAATATTTGTGTCCATAATCCCAGCATTTTCGGAGGCTGAACTGGGGGCATTGCTTAAGCCCAGGATTTCAAGACCAGGCTAAGCAACATGGCAAAACCCCATCTCTACAAAAAAACACAAGAATTAGCCAGGTGTGGTGGGGTGTGCCTGTAATCCCAGCTATTTGGGAGGCTGAGGCAGGAAGTTTGCTTGAGCCCAGGAGTTTGAGGCTGCAGTGAGCTATGATCATTCCGCTGTACTCCAACCTGGGTGACAGAACGAGACCCTGTTTCTAAAAAAGAAAGAAAGAAAAATATACTTATGCCTAATGTAATTTATTAAGGATTCCATGTATGTCTGAAGTCTCTGGTTCCTTCAAATCAGGATGCTGCTCCAACAGAGTCTTTACTGAACTGGCAAGACTACGAGGGTCGAACTCCTCTTCACTTTGCAGTTGCTGATGGGAATGTGACTGTGGTTGATGTCTTGACCTCGTATGAAAGCTGCAATATAACATCTTATGATAACTTATTTCGAACCCCACTGCACTGGGCAGCTTTATTAGGTATGTGCCTCAAAGGATTAACAGTAGAAGGAGCTTCATTTGTATAGGAATATTTCTGTGCCTTCTCTTCCACCATTCACTCCCAACTCCTAGTTAATTATTTTAATTTCTAACTGATATGTTGTATTGTTTTGTAAACTAAATTATAGTAATATAAATTTATTTTCTGTTAAATATTAGTTTTAATTTCAATTTCATATCTTTAAATTTTTGTAATAAAAGTAATTCACATTTATTGACAACATGGAAATGTAACATAAACCTCTTTTCACATTCAATGCCTATATTTTCAGGGAGAAGGGCTTTAATTTTATGCTTGTGCTAATACTATGATATTTGAGTTTTTTCTTTATATTTTCCTGATATGTCTTTTACTTAACCTTTTTGAAGATCACTTTTATAGATGAGAGAGTGTGTATATGTGTTTTTGTGTGTGGAGCCAATCTGAAAGTCTTTCTCTTTCAATAAAGTAGTTTTACCTATTAATGGTCATTGTTATAAACTAAATAATCTGGTCTTTTTCTCCTGCTATTCTGCTATTATTAGTGTTTTCCATTAAAATTTTGTTTGTTTGGTTTTTTCCTGTTTCCTTTGCTTTCTGCTCTTTGGTATATGGATTAGATTTGTTGTTATTTGGTTTTGAATTGCCTAATGTTTTTAGGAGGGTTTAGGTTCTGTTTGTGGTTACTTTTAAATTTATCAAAAACTTTTTAAAACCTGAATCAGAGTCAAGAGCAAAAATGTATCTATTGATTCCCACCTATTCAAGATAAAAAATTTAGTGCAGCTACTCATCACTCTTTTGGTAATTGTTAATGTAATCTGAGGTTTCCCCCCTAATTATTATAATCTTGATCTTAGTTTTTAAATTATACAGTGTCTTTTTTTAAAATGATGTATATATGTGCACTCACTTTTTTCTTTTTTTTTTCTTTTTTTTGTGTGTGTGCACTCTTATCATCAGATTTATAATTATTATTCAGATTTATTTTACATCTCTTTTTCTTTTTCCTCTGAATTCTGGACTTACTTGGCAAATTTGTCTCTACATAACTAAATTGACTTTCTGTTCTGTAAGTTCTACTTTCTTCCTGCCTCCTCTATAGATTGCATTTTGGGTTATATTTTTATTTCCTTCTCTTACCTATATATTTTTTCTCATTTCATTTCCTTTTAACTTCCTTCCATTACTTTTTTGTTTCACTCTGTTTTCTTCTTAGAATATCCTGTTTCTGTTTCATAGAAGCATCTCTTTTTGCACTAAGTCGAGGATACCAGTTCCCTGAAATTCTCCTCTGGATCGTTCTCTAGATCATATTCAGAGGTATGCAATTTATCTTTCTGACAGTGTTTCTTTTTCCCTTTCCTATAGTATGTTTTATGTAGTCTTTACTGAATTTTTCCTTTTATATGTCAAACAAAATGAAATGTGTTTAGAGTAACTGTGGCAAAGATGTCTTTGAGTCTACATTTGTGTTATGGAGAACTTCATTTTATACCACATCTGGAGAGCAGATAGATGAACACAACTTCCACTCAAATTACTTTTTTCTGCCTGGCTTTTATGCAGTATATCCTTGCTCTATTAATGTGACATCTTCTTCCTTCTCCAGTATCTGAAACCAATAGAGTGTATGAAATTTCAGGTTTCCTACGTGCACTACTACCAGGTTTAGTCATTTTTAAATCTTTTCTACAGCTCTTCACTTGGGGAGATCACATCCTCTAGAATGCACTGTATTGTCTTCATTGCTACCTCATCATACCTGCCCACTTGTTTTCTGGGATTTGAAATCACTACCTAGATGTTATAAAATATAAATATAATAAAATATTGTGGGAGGGAGAATATAGGGAAGGGAGGCCTCAGAGACAGAGGAGATTGTATTATAGTTTGTCCACCTGAATAGTAGAAGAGAACAGCTGTACAATTGTTTGGTTGGGCAATGGAACCTTGACAGTAGGAGCAGTGAAGCCTAAGAGGGCCTGGCTCTAAAGCACCTTCCCCTCCTTTGCTTTAGGCAGCTTTATAAAGTGAAGCCAGGGAATGCAATGAGGTGATACCTAATAAGTTTTTTCTCAGTCTGACAATTATACTTAATGTCATTTTTACCTGATTGAAGCATAAAGTTTTTGGTAAGTTTTAATTTTGTTCTACCTCATATTAATATGTTAGTGAGAAGCTAGAAGAGGCTGCCCTGGGGGCTGCTGTTCAGAAATCATTTTGAATGCTATATTATGTGTTAGTGATTTTTCTTACCTTTTTTATTTAAAAAGATTATAAATTAATTAACGTCCTTTATAAGTGATAATTACCTTTTTGTGTCTTTTCTCAGGCCACGCACAGATTGTCCATCTCCTTTTAGAAAGAAATAAGTCTGGAACTATCCCATCTGACAGCCAAGGAGCCACACCTTTGCACTATGCAGCTCAGAGTAACTTTGCTGTACGTAAAACAAGACAATGCCCTTTTTTCTTAGTGAAAATTTTTATTTTTATATAATCGTAGATTCATATGTAGTTGTAGAAAATAATACAGCAAGATCCCATGTACTCTTCACCTAGTTCACTCTGTTATTTATTTGTTTATTTTTCCAATAAGCTTTTTGCACTCCTACACCTAATTCACTCTAATGGTAACATCTAATACAATATCATAAACAGGAAATTGACATTGATACAATCCACTGACCTTATTCAGTTTTGCCCAGCTTTACTTAGACTCATTTGTCTGTGTTTGTATAGCAATTATCTCTTAACAATGGTTCATGCTGTTCCCTCTGTGATGCAAATGATAGTCTGTTTTTTTGTAACTTGTTAGTCACATCTGAAGTTGTATACAGTTTTTATTTTAATGTTAAGCATAACATTTTACTTTACTGTAAGAGTACTTCATCTTAGTATTACTTTAATAGCACTGAGAACATCATAGTGTTCAACCATGTGTAATTGTCCAGAAAGCAGGGTGGCAAGGCTTTGGAACTAGCACAATCTCAGCTAGAATCCTGTCTGTGCAATTTGCCAAACTGTATTACCTTACCAAGTTTCTTAATCCTAGTTTCTTCATATGTAAGATGAGGATAATTATACCTTTTTTTTCAGGATTGTTGTAAATATTAGAGAAAATTTATGACAAATGTCTGATGTATACCTTGGCATAGAGCGGTTAAGAAATAGAATGTATTCTCATTACTACTAGTGCTGATAATTATGTATATTATACATCTGAGAATGTAAAAATGAATTATTTCCAAAAATACTGAATATTATTCATAGTTCTTCCCCTCCACTTTCTCATCATTATGTCCTCAGTTCACCCCACACAGCATGATAGTGTCTAGACTACTTCAGCTTCCTGAGTATGAATGGCTATCAAGAACCAGATTTGGCCAGGCACAGTGACTCACGCCTGTAATCCCAGAACTTTGGGAGGCCAAGGCGGGCGGATTGCCTGAACTCAGGAGTTCGAGACCAGCCTAGGCAACACGGTGAAACCCCGTCTCTACTAAAATACAAAAAATTAGCTGGGTGTGGCAGCATGCACTTGTAGTCGCAACTATTCGGGAGGCTGAGGCAGGAGAATTGCAAGAACCCGGGAGGCAGAGGTTGCAGTGAGCCAAGATCATGCCACTGCACTCCAGCCTGGGCAACAGAGCAAGACTCCATCTAAAAAAAAAAAGGCAAGAAAAGAACCAGATTCATCTAAGGATGCACACATTAAAGCAGATTTTGCTGCCTTCTACATGGGTATGCATAGTGAAACCCCTTGTTTAATTAAATTGTAATAATACTATCAGGCTGGGCATGGTATCTCACACCTGTAATCCCAGCACTTTGGGAGGCCGAGGCAGGCAGGTCACCTGAGGTCTGGAGTTTGAGACCAGCCTGGTCAACATGGCCATCTACTAAAAATACAAAAATTAGCCGGGCGAGGTGGCCAATGCCTGTAGTCCCAGCTACTCGGGAGGCAGTAGAATCACTTGAACCCGGGAGGCAGAGGTTGCAGTAAGCCAAGATGGCACCACTGCACTCCAGCCTGGGCAACAGAGCAGGACTCCATCTCATTAAAAAATAAATAAATATATCATCAAGCATAGTATAATTTCATCTTTGTGACTTCTCCAAATGCTCTATTAAATACTTAGATCTCTAAAATATCTTATCTTCACACCCTGCCTACTCTGTAGTATCCAGAACAACTATTCCTATAACCCTTCCTTCTTAGTATTCCTAACAACTTATTGAATTTACCACCTAGCATTTTGACAAATCATTATCTGTTATCACCTAACAAAGTAGTATTTTAGGAGAAGCTTTTTCTTATTACAAATAGATAGGAAATTAACTTGACCCAGTCTAGTCAATCTATGGAAATTAGAGCTCAACCCATAAATCAACACAAGCCTCTTAGATAAGTCAAGTTATCTCCTGTTTACAGAAAGCAAAACAAAACAAAACAAGGTTCTGTGAGATTACATGACTTGTTTATGGTCTTGAACACAAAACTTAGACCCCAAATTTAATATATATGCAGGCAACAATAATAAAATAAGTGTGCTAGTGGAAACAAGAAAAAATGGTAGAACATTATTCTTTATAATGATTCAATACTGTAATAATATAATAATTTTATTCAAAGAAATATTTTGTTGGATAATCTGCCAATTCCAGAGTTGATTTTAAATAATTATACAAATTTTATAAGCTCAGTTTCAAGTCCCTTGATCTTCTTGTCCACTATTAACTGACAAGAAGTTACAACTCGCTCCGTGAAAAATACAGACACTTCCTTACACACACAGAGCCCTGTAAACATTTATCATTAAGTAAAAACAGACTCCCCAAAGACATGTTTGCAAATTAGTAAAGAAAAACAAAAAAATCACAAACTATTAAAGTTCATTTCTTTATGCAAATAGGTTATTATGCTTAATAAGCATATCCATTAGACTTTAGGAGCACTAAGTTAGTATACCTCAGTAACTCAACTAATAGTCTTAAAAGTAGAAAGCAATGTATGAGGCAGTGGAAGGAGTGCTATGATTTAACCCTAGATTATATTACTTTATCTGCCACCAATATTTATATGACCTTGGAACCTAAATTTCTTCATCTGTAAAATAAGGGACTAGATTAGATGAGGCCTCGAAGTCTTCTTTCTGTAAAATATTGAGCCAACATGTTATACATTTTTCATCAGCTCACAGCATCCAGAATTTTTTGTCTGAAACTCTTTTACCTCCATTCAAGCAAATGTTTCTAGGATCTTTCTTTTTTTTCTTTTTTTTTTTTTTGAGATGGAGTTTTGCTTTTGTTGCCCAGGCTGGAGTGCAATGGCGTGATCTTGGCTCACCGCAATCTCTGCCTCCTGTGTTCAAGTGATTCTCCTGCCTCAGCCTTCCACATAGCTGAGATTACAGGCATGCACCACCAAGCCTGGCTAATTTTGTATTTTTGGTAGAGACACGGTTTCTCCATATTGGTCAGGCTGGTCTCAAACTCCCAACCTCAGGTGATCCTCCCACCTCGGCCTCCAAAAGTGCTGGGATTACAGGTGTGAGCCACCATACCCAGCCAGTTTCTGTGATCTTTCTAAAAGTTTGTATGAGTCTGAGTTCTGAGGAAAGAGGCAATGTAAAATGCTGGAATATTAACCCCCATTAAAATTCTGAGGCACTAATAGAATTGTCAAGGGTCCTAATTTTTACATGATTCCATAGGAGGACAATTCTGTAATAAAGGAATTGCTGAATAAATATTTCTTTTAATGAATTGAGCACTGTATTTCTCAGTAACCATCAATCAGTATTCAATAAATACATTAACCATTTAAAAAATGTTTAGTAACTAATCACATAGTTCCAATCAGTTCCTGGATTTAAGGCAAAAACAAACAAAAAATGCAATGAGAGAATGCAGACCCTTTTCTGGAGGCATGCCTGAATAGATGGGTCTCATGTCAAATGTCCAAGAATACGTATTTTATGGACCGGGTGCAGTGGCTCAGACCTGTAATTCCAGCACGTTGGGAAGCCAAGACAGACGGATAACTTGAGGTCAGGAGTTGAAGACCAACTTGGCCAACATAGTAAAACTCCATCTCTACTAATAATACTGCAGTTAGCCCAGTGTGGTGACACATCCTAGCTACTGAGGAGGCTAAGGCAGAAGAATTGCTTGAACCTGGGAGGTTGCAGTGAGCTGAGATTGTACCACTGCACTCTAGCCTGGGTGACAGACTAAGACTCCCTCTCAAAAAAAAGAAAACATATATTTTAATTTTGGTCATTAATAAATAAAACACTGAATACTTCGAAGTCTTTGACTGTCACTCAAACAATGACCTATAAAATTTCCAAGCTTGATTGAAGATGATTATTTTCCACTTTGAGGATGTTGAGTGGGAAAGTTAGGTGATGTTTGTGAAGTGTTATGGAAACTACAACTAATTTGTAAGGACAGAGGATTGATATCTTCAGTGGAAATTGTAGTTCTGTCATTAATAAAAAGATAATTTAATTAGATTCAAAAGCAAGGAGAAAATGCTTTGCTTCTTAATGGAAGTCACATATTATATGACTTTATTACCATAGAAAATACTACTGTTTTGTCTCCATTTTTTAAATCAAGTTTTCTTACAGGATACAGTTAAAGTGTTCTTAAAACATCCTTCAGTGAAAGATGATTTGGACTTGGAAGGAAGAACATCCTTTATGTGGGCAGCTGGCAAAGGCAGTGATGACGTCCTTAAGACTATGCTGAGCTTAAAATCGGACATTGATATTAACATGGCTGACAAATATGGAGGGACAGGTGAGAACTGGTAGACACATTCAATTTGCTTTTGTTCAGGTTCCAAAGTGTCGATGGTGCTATAAAACTTATAAAATAGCAACTTGAAATCATTGTTTCTAATCTAATATTGTTTGACTTTGGTCTAAAGTTTTTAAGTTTGGGTTTGCCAGGCTGTAACTCCAAAGGCTTTATTGCTTCTAAGTATTATGGCTAAGAGTAGCATATGTTTCTACCAAATCAATGGTTGCATTTGGTTATCTGGTTGCTCCTTAGACATGATAATGGGGACTCTTCTGATCATTTATGTTTTTGTAAAAAAAAAAAAAGTGTACTTTATGCATATTTAGTAGTTATTATAGTTTCAAAAAGTTAGAATTATATTTAAGGAATGCACACATCTAAGTGTATTCTCACCAGTCTCCTTTAATGGGCTCTTTTCTCAGATTTGAATAGCATTACCACATCCTGAATCTCCCAATTTTAGAGATAACCTCCCATGGCTCTAGAAGCTTCAAAGCTTCAAATCAACCTTGCATCGAAAACTCTTGTTAGATGCTTCTTTTAATTTCTTTCTCTAATAGGAGAGGCCTTTAACTACATGTTGGTTAATGAGGTAGTTTTTCAGCCTCAGTGTCAACCTGGAGGTCTCTTCCTTGTGTGTACTGTATCCTATTTCCAACTCAGAAAGAGAAGGAGAAATACCACCACAATAACACCAAATAGAATAAAAAATCAGTAAGGGGCCTCTCCATGTTATTTTTTTTTTTATTAGTAGAAACATACTCGAGCCATTTATATTACTGTTATCCTGAATAAGATTTTTCTTGGCCACCAAAACTATTGATGCAGCAGTAGGGGGAAAGAAGGGAGGGGAGTTGCTACATTTAAAATCTCCCTCCCTATACCAAGACAACCACAGCCTCAAAAAAATTATTTTAAGATGACAATTCAATTTTATGATAAAGACTATGACTTTCAAAAATATTTATCAGCCAGGCACCATGGCTCACGCCTGTAATCCCAGCACTTTGGGAGGCTGAGGTTAGCGGATCACGAGGTCAAGAGATTGAGACCATCCTGGCCAACATGGTGAAAACCCGTCTCTGCTAAAAATACAAAAATTAGCCGGGCGTGGTGGCACACGCCTGTCATCCCAGCTACTCGGGAGGCTAAGGCGGAAGAATCGCTTGAACCCAGAGGCAGAGATTGCAGTGAGCCAAGATTGCGCCACTGCACTCCAGCCTGGCGACAGAGCAAGACTCCGTCTCAAAATAAAAGTATTTATCTATCAAAGCCTAACAACAGTTCTTAAATTTCTTAAGGGGTATAGTGTAGACACATAGATATTGACCTTATAAACGATCTGAACATTTAATTTTGTCAGATTTCCATTATATATTCTTTATCACTAGCTTTGATTTTAATTTAACTTTTTCAGGTATTTGAATAGCATATGGGCAAGAATACTTACATTCTTTGACCAAAAGTATCTTTCTCCTGTGCACCATGGTTGAAGTTCAGACATAAATTCTTCTCAGATTCATTAATTTGCTGGGTTCTTTCTTCTACGGGGATTTTATTATGTCAGAGATGCCTTCCTGACATTTCTTGTCTATGAAAGTGAGTTCTTCTCCATCATCCCTCTACAAATTTGTTTTTTCTTCCTTCCTATTAAAAAGAGGTCTTACCAATAGCAATGTATGGACATTATTTGGATCCTGACTCAATAAACTATAAAAAATTTTAAAGCCATCAGGAAAATGTCAACATTACTGAATATTACAGAATTTCTGTTAGTATCTTTTAGGTGTGATAACACCATTATGGTTTTACCAGTGATGAAGCTATTCTCCTTTCTTCGCAGTGCTGGGCCTGGGGCTCTGCAAATCATATTTCCCCTTTGCCACAGGTGCTTTTTTAAAGTCGGCATTAGAGAGAATTGGAGGGAGACTGGAAGGCTGGAAGAGGGACAAGGGATTACATCTTTCTGTTTGCTTCCTGCTCTTGCTTTTTTTTCTTTTTCTTTTTTTAGAGAAAAAAAATGAAGTTAAAGAAATAATAAGACAGGATCTCACTATGTTTGTTGCCCGGCTGGTCTCGAACTCCTTGACTCAAGTGATTCTCCCACCTCAGCTTTCCCAATGTGCTTAGCTTACAGGTGTGAGCCACCTTGCCCAGCCTGTTGTTGTTTTTATTTCCTGCTATGGTCAGCATCACCCTAATAATGCTTCTTCAACACAGCAATGATACTTTATTTCAGCAACAATGGTTAATTTAACCCTGCAGTTTTTTCCAACATTTATAGTTTCACTCTGCAGTTTTGCCAACATTCACAGCCTCAGCACACCCTTCTCAGAGACAACAGCACCAGCCAAGCAGAGACATTCCTCAGAGATCTGAGTTTTCATTCTGCATGGCTCTTCTAAGCTTTTAGGTTTAAATAATTTCATCCTTTTCTTTTTATACCACCCCCCATCCCTGCAGTGCCAGGATTGGTAGCTATTTCCTGCATTTGCTACCTCTGTGGTACCTTAGAGTTCTCTTTTTGCCTTTTTACTTCTTCAATACAAAGCCAATAATTATTTATACTGAATTCTATCTATTATATCTGGTATGGTTTCTGTCTTCTGACTGGACCCTGACTGATATAGTGAGATCTATATCATTCTCTTTAAAAAAAAAAAAAAAAAAAAAAGAATCCTTGTCTTTCAGAAATACTAAAATATTTACAGATGAAAAGATATGACTCTAAAATTTTTTTCAAAACAATCAGAAGTGGAGGAAATGAATAGTGTTTAAATAAAACAAGATTAGCCACGTATTGATAATTGTTGAAGCTGGGGATAGCTATATTGAGTTCACTGGACTGTCTACTTTTGGATATGTTTGAAGGTTTCCATAATATAAAGTTACATTTAAAAAAAAAATTTTAAGATTCTATATAAACTTGCAGCACTGTTCAGAGAGGGAGTAACAATAGTTAAGTCCAAGGTTATTTTTATGTTATTTTATTTTTATTTTTTGAGATGGAGTCTCACTCTGTCACCCAGGCTGGAGTGCAGTGGCTGGGTCTCAGCTCACTGCAATCTCTGCCTCCCAGGTTTAAACTATTCTCCTGCCTCAGCCTCCAAGATGCTGGGATTATAGGCATGTGCCACCATACCCAGCTAATTTTTATAATTTTAGCAGAGACAGGTTGTCACCATGTTGGCCAAGTTGGTCTCAAACTCATGACCTCAGATGATCCACCCACTGTGGCCTCCCAAAGTTCTGGGATTACAGGCATGAGTCACCACACCCGGCCTAAGGTTATTATTGTTTTCTTCGAAGCCTTCACCTAGATTTCAGAGGAAAGTTTTTTAAATAAAGTAAATTTGGGCCAGGTGTGGTGCCTCATGCCTATAATCCCAGCACTTTGGGAAGTTGAGGTGGGTGGATCATCTAAGGTCAGGAGTTCGCGACCAGCCTGGCCAACATGGTGAAACCCCACCTCTACTAAAAATACAAAAATTAGCCAGGCATGGTGGTGGGTACCTGTAGTCCTAGCTACTTCAAAGGCTGAGACAGGAGAATTACTTGAACCGGGTGGTGGAGGTTGCATTGAGTCAAGATCACACCACTGCACTCCAGCCTGGGAGACAGAGTAAGAATCTGTCTCAAATACATAAATAAATAAATAAAAATAGAGCAAATTTAAATAGATATAAATGGGGAATTTCCTTTCATTTGATCATTAATTTTATCTTTTACTTTATTGAAATTTTATCTTTTAAAAAAATTTGACATTGATATTGTCTATACAGTATATCTCATACGTGATGCCACATCACAGAATTGTAGCATTTCAGAATTAGAAGTCATCTTAAAATTAAATATAGCCCTGGGTTTTCCAAATCATGTTCTTTAGAACAACAGCTTTCTATGGAGGCACCTGAAATACTTAGCTGAGGGAATATGCAGTCGAGTGAGTAATGCTCTACTTCTAATTTAGTCAGAACCACTCAACTCTTACTTGTCTTATGTGTTATATAAATTTTCATTTGGGGTAAAGGGTTCTTATGCTTTTAAAATGTGAAGTAACTGAAATATCACAGATATAATATGATGTTTTCATCTGCTTTATAATATTCTCACCTGTGGTTTTTCAGCCTCTTGTTGAACAGCTCCAATAAAGTGAATCCACTATCTTCATCTTAACTCTATTAGAATGTTCTTCCTTATACTGAGCCAAAATTTGTCAAACTGAATGTTCTGTCCTGTGCTATCTTCTATGTGATAGCACTCAGATATTTGAAGTTACTCACACCTGTCTGAATCTTGTCTAGGTCAAACTAACATTCAGCCATTTAGGTCAGTGGTTCCCAAACTCAAGAATGGCATAAGAATTACTAGAGGTGTTTGTTTACATTCAGATTCCCAGGCTATATGGACAGATTGTGTTTCAAATCCTGTAGCAAGTCCTGTTGACTCCACCTCTAAAACATGTTCTAAATCATTCTGTTTCTCTCCATCTTCGTTCCAACCATCCTAGTCAAACCACCATCATTTTTCACTCAGGCTACTGCTAAAATGTTCACCAGTCTTCCTGCTTATATTCTAATCTACTATGAAACATTCTCCTCAGAACAGCTAGAGTGATCTGTTTAAAGCATAAATCAGATAATATCACTCCACTTTAGCCCTTCAAGTGTCTTCCATCAGTCTGATAGGACCATTTGTGATCTTGCCTTTTCTACCTTTCTGGCTTACTCCACAGTCGCTTACTATGGTGCAACTACCCTTCCTTCCTTAAACACACACAATCATTCCTGTCCTGTATGAACTCTTCCCTTTGCTGAAAATACTCTGTCTTTTTTATGGTTCAGGTCTCAACTTAATTGTCAGCTCTTATGCAAGGCTTTCAGTAACCACCAATCAAAAGTAGTCCCTAAGTGACTCTACATACCAAAATACTTTTTATTACTTTAATTATACCAGTTGTCCCTATATAATACTTTATCGATGGGGAATTGTTTTGGGCTTTTTTTGTTGCGCTTTGCTTCCCTTCCTAGAATGTAACCTTACCTGTTTTATTGCCTGCTAAACACCTAGCATTATAACAGTACCCAGCCCAAAAATGTACATCCCAGGTTTGCTCCATGGATCACCCTTTATGAAAGAGACACTGTTCTAGGCCGTATAGAGCCACAGTCCTTAACTGGCCCATGCCTCTAAAATGTTACTGTGCCCAATTCAAAACTATAGAGGGATGGCATAAGCCAAGCATTACAATGGAGTAACATAGGCATGAGTCAGTGTAACATGAAACACATGTAGTCAAAAACCTCTTTTTAAACCTCCGGAAGGCACCAGAGAGGAGACCATATTCCGTCTCAATTTTTCTCCAGTGAAACAAATTCCCGTTTTTCTTCTTTCTTTCCTTTTTTTTTTTGAGATGAAGTTTCTCTATTTTCTCTAGACTGGCCTAGACCTCTTGGGTTCAAGCAGTCCTCCTGCCTCAGCCTCCCAAGTAGCTGGAACGATAGGCACATGCCACCTCATTGTTTCTTTAATTGAGCCCTGGGGAAGTAGCTGGCTTGTATTTGGAGTGATATAGTATTAAAAATGCACTCAATGCAGCAGGATGTGCATGCTTTTAGTACCACTGGGGTACACAGGCCAACAGCACATGTAACCAATAGAATAAACAGTAGATTGATGTCTCCAGTCACATGACCCCTTAGGGGAATATGCTTATTGAGTGGGTTGTTGGGCAGAATTGTGTACCTCATTTAAATCATTTACCTTTGTTATTATTTGTTCTCTTGCTCTCTTGAAAGAGAAAAAGAGAAAACTAGTAGCTGAAAAGAGAAGACTAGTAGCTGAGAAGGGGATACCATTTCAGACCAACAGGATGGAAGGCAAGAAAACAGCAAGAAGAGAAAGATAGAAGGCAAGGGGAAAGTGTGAGTAATACTTATGAAAAGGAAGGAAGGCAGAATCTATAAAAGTGAAAAATAAACCAGGGAATCTTTAAAAATCAAGATTGCATTTATTCAAAATGATGGGGAAATCAAGAAAGGAAAGGACATATAATAATTTAAAAGGTGAAATTGTTATTGACTAGTTCATTACTCTCCTTTGATTCCCTTTTAGCTTTGCATGCTGCGGCCCTTTCTGGCCATGTCAGCACTGTGAAGTTATTACTGGAAAATAACGCTCAAGTAGATGCTACCGATGTTATGAAACATACTCCACTTTTCCGAGCCTGTGAGATGGGACACAAAGATGTGATTCAGACACTCATTAAAGGTGGGTTAATGAGTACTCCTAATAAGTCTCTCTTAACAGGTAGGAATTGTTGCATACTCTGTTTGAGATAAAGCTTTTCCTAGCACAGAGCTGCACAAGTACAAGGATCACCCAACGTGGTATCAGGAACCTCAAGTTCTACTCCTAGCTCCACTTGTTGGGAGCTGCTTGATATAGGAAAAGTTACTTCACCTGCCTGATCCTCAGTGACATTTTAAATAAGGGGGAGTGATTTCTATCTAGTTTATTGTAAAAATATGAAGTAGATGATGTATGTGGAAGCATTTCCATAAGAATAAAGCATTTAAGGAACAATTGTTATTATTTTACTTCTATTCGTTTTAATAAATGCATTTAAGGAACAATTTTTTTTTACTTCTCTTCATTTTAATAAATGTTATTTGTATTAGACATTTTCATTATATTTGTGCTTTTCCAGGTGGAGCAAGGGTAGATCTAGTTGACCAAGATGGACATTCTCTTCTACATTGGGCAGCACTGGGAGGAAATGCTGATGTTTGCCAGATATTAATAGAAAATAAGATCAATCCAAATGTCCAGGATTATGCAGGAAGAACCCCTTTGCAGTGTGCTGCCTATGGAGGCTATATCAACTGCATGGCAGTTCTCATGGAAAATAATGCAGACCCTAACATTCAAGACAAAGAGGTAAAAATTCTATGTCTTTTCTATATTAAGTTTGTTCCAAAGAATTTACAGTATTTCTTCTTTGTTGTAAACATAAGTAAAACAACAGTTTACAAGATGAAGAGACCTCTCACAAATCCATCTGTTAATCATGACTATAATTTGTTCATGTTCTCTTCCAGTCTTTTTCTATATATACAATTTAACATAGTTATAATATAGGCTGGGAATAATTTTATAACTTTTATAAAAGATTACATGGTATACATATGTATGCATGTATAAAAATATATTACATGGTTTTCTTTCTTTCCTTCTTTCTTTCTTTCTTTCTTTCTTTCCTTTCCTTTCCTTTCCTCTTCCCTTCCCCTCCCCTCCCCTCCTCTTTTCTTTCTCTCTCTCTCTTTCTTGACAAAGTCTGGCTCTATCCCCCAGGCTGCAGTGCAGTGGCGCGATCTTGGCTCACCGCATCGCTTGCCTCCCAGGTTCAAGCCAGTCTCTTGCCTCAGCCTCCCAAGTAGCTGAGATTACAGGTGTGTGGCACCACACCCAGCTAATTTTTGTATTTTTAGTACAGATGAGGTTTCACCCCACTGGCCAGGCTGGTCTCTAACTCCTGACCTCAGGTGATCCGCCTGCCTCGACCTCCCAAAGTGCTGGGATTTCAGGCGTGAGCCACTGTGCCCGGTCTATTATATGATTTTCAAACCACATTTTGTTTATGTAAAATTGTCACCATTTTCTCATGTGATATATAATCTTTTTAATAATCATGAATGCTTAAAATTCCAAAGTTCTAAGAACTTTATGTTTTTAATAGCTTATTCAATCCTTGCAATAATCCTATAAAGTAGTTACTATTATTATACTCATTTTATAGAAGAGGAAATTGAAGCTTATGTAGATTAAGTAGTTAGCCTAAGGTGACAACAGGTGGGGGGAGCTGGAGGGAGATTCAGGATCCAAACTATGCCTTAACCCAAATATTAGGTTAAATAAGTAACTTCCTATTGCTGGTCACTTTTTTACCATTATAAGTAATATTTCAGTAATTACCTTTGTGCATTTAACTTTTTTCCTTTGGGATTATTTCCTTAGAATAATTCCCCCTAAGTGAGATTATCAGCTCAAAGCAACCAGTCCTTTATTAATGTGATTAGGCTCTGATATATACTGCCAAACTGATTTCTAAAAGGTTCAGGTTAATCTATACTTTCCCCAAATGTATAGTATCAGTTTCTCTCAGTTTAGCCAGTATTAACTTTTTTACTAGTTAAATTATTTTAACTCTTTCAAAATATTTGCATTTTAATAATGTTTTCCAAGTCAGAAAATTAATTGTCCCTATTATCTCAAGTCCCTATCAAACTAATTGAACACGATTTATCAGGATTGTTACTGTATGTAAAAGTAACATAAAGAAAAGTATGCAAAATGTGGTCCTTATCCTTATGCTACCAGGAATGCATCTTTTTAAATTTGTAGTACTTTTAATGTTTTACTAGATTGCTGGTTTTTTACATAAGTAGCATATAAAGCATCTTTCTGCTTCTATTAGTTGTTATCTGTATTGTTTTGGATTATCTACATAAGCAATCATGCATGCTATCTATGAATAATAACATTTTTATTTCTTCTTTCCAATCTTTATGCCTTTTGTTTCTTTGATGTGCCATATTGAATTAGAACCTTCAATACAATGTTGAATAGAATTGGTGATAATTAGCATCCTTCATTCACTCTGGTTTCTCAGATGGCAAGTTTCCAACATTTTACCATTGAGTAAGATGTTGCTACAGATTTCCTTATATTCCTAATTGCTAACAGTTTTTAAAAATCATAATTGGGCCAGGCGAGGTGGCTCATGCCTATAATCCCAGCACTTTGGGATGCCAAGGTGGGCAGATCACCTGAGATCGGGAGTTCAAGACCATCCTGACCAACAGGGAGAAACCTAGCCTCTACTAAAAAAAATACAAAATTAGCCAGGCATGGTGGCACTTTCCTGTAATCCCAGCTATTTGGGAGACTGAGTCAGGAGAATCACTTGAACATGGGAGGCAAAGTTGCAGTGAGCTGGGATCACACCGTTGCACTCCAGCCTGGGCAACAAGATTAAAACTCCATCTCAAAAAAAAAAAAAGAAAGAAAAGAGTAAAATCAAAATTGGCTTTTCATCAAATACTATTTATGCATTTATCAACAGATATTTTTTTCTCCTCTTTTCTGTCAATACAGCAAATTACGTTGATTGATTTTTTTTTTTTTTTTTTTTTTAGATGTTAAACAACGCTTGCATTTCTGGAGTAAGCCCCACATATATTATGCACTTTTACTAATAGATTTTACTTGCTGATATTTTAAGATTTTTGCATCTATGTTTATGAGAGAGATTGGCCTATAATTTTCCTTTCTTGTATTATAGTTGTGAGGTTTTGGTAGCAAGGTAAGGCTAACCTTGTAAAAAAAAATTTAGAAAGCAGTCCCTTGTTTTTATTCTCTGGGAGAATTAAATTGATATTACTTCTTCCTTAAATATTTGGAAGAATTTCCTCTTGAAGTTATCTCGTGTTGGAGTTTTTTGTGTGTAAAAGTTTTAAACAACCAATTCACTTCATTAATTATTCAAATTTTCTAATTATTTTTCTTTCAGCTTTGGTAAATTGTACTTTTTTTTTTTTTTAGGAATTTATTCATTTTATTCAAAATGTCAAATGTATTTGCATAATTTTGTCACACACATATTCTCTTATCTTTCTTATGTTTATAGGGCCTGTAGTGAGTTCTTGTTTATTTCATAAATTGTTAATGTGTATTTGTTTTTGCTCTCTTTTTCTTTTTTTAATTTTCTTCATTCCTTACCTAGAGCACCAAAAAAAAAAAAAAAAAAAAAAACTTGATATTCATCTCTTCAAAAGATTTACTTTTGTCTTTATGGATTTTCTGTGTTTTGAGATTTTGGTTTGTTTTTTGTTTTTTGTTGTTGTTCCTTTCTAAGACTGTATCTCACTCCTCTGCCCAGGCTGGAGTACAGTGGCATGATCATGGCTCATTGCAGCCTCAACCTTCCCAGGCTCTGGTGATCCTCCCACCTTGGCCTTCTGAGTAGCTGGGACTGCCACCTGCCTGGCTAATATTTTTGTATTTTTTTGTAGAGAAGAGTTTTCACCATGTTGCCCATGACTGGTCTTGAATTCCTGGGCTCAAGCGATCTACCTGCCTCAGCCTCCCAAAGTGCTAGGATTGCAGGCTGAGCCACCACACCTAGCCTGTATTTTGAGTTTGTTTACTATTTCATTGGCATTTGCTCCTGTCTTTTCTGTATTCTAATTTATTATTTCTATTTTGGTTTATTCTCTGACACATAGATTATTTAGAAGTGTACTGTTTAATTTTCAGTCAGTTGAGTGTTTTCTCATTTTTTTTTGAATTGATTGTATTAGTTTTTTATTGCTGCTATAACAAATTACCACAGATTTAGTGGCATAAAACAACACAAATTTATTTTCTTACCATTCTAGATGTCAGAAATTCAAAATGAGTCTTACTGGGTTAAAAAATCAAGGTGTCAGCAGGGCTGCTTTTCTTTTGGTGGGTGTAGGAGAGAATCCATTTTTTACTTTTTCAGTTTCTCAAGGCTGCCCACATTCCTTGGCTGATGACCCCATTCCTCCATCTTCAAAGCCGCATTGGCTGGTTGAGTCTTTCTCTGTATCACTTATCTATATAACTCTTACACTTACTCTCTTGATAGCCTCTTTCCCTTAAAAGGACCCTTGTGATTAGGTAAGGCCCACCCAGATAATCCAGGATAATCTTCCCATCTCAAGATCAGCTGATTAATAATCTTAATTCCATCTACAACCTTAATTCTTAACATAACATATTCATAGGTACCAGGGACCTTTATAGTCCAGCATATGATTGATTTTGGTAAATGTTTTGTATACATGTGAAAAGAGTACTAACTCTGTCCTTGTTGGATGCAGTGTTGTGTGTGGCGGGGGGGGCATTTTTTTAAGTGTGTTGCTTAGGTCTTATATATCTTTACTGCTCTTTTGACTGTTCTATCAGCTGTTTTAAAAGGTGGGTTAAAATCTTCCACTATGATTAGGGTCTTGACTCTCTCCCTTTTCAGTTTTGTTGATTTTTCCCTTGTGTATTTAGAAGCTTTGTTATTAGATCCATACAAATTTGGCATTCTGGTATTTTTCTTTTTGATTCCTTTAACACTATAAAGTGTCCCTCTTTATGTCTAGCAATGCTTCATCTTTATCTTTCATGACATTAAAATTTTTAACAAATACAGGCCATTTATTTTACAGAATTTGACTCAATTTGGGTTAGTCTTATGTTTCCCTATAATTAGAGTCAGGTTTCACATTTTTGGTTGGAATATTACATAAGTATTCTGAATCCTTCTCAGGGTATTACCACTGGAGATATATGATGCCCCTTAATATAGTGTTAAGTGGCTGGGTGCGGCAGCTTACGCCTATATCCCAGCACTCTGGGAGGCTGAGGCAGGTGATCACCTGAGGTCAGGAGTTCGAGACCTGCCCGGTCAACATGGTAAAATCCCATCTCTACTAAAAATACAAAAATTAGCTGGGTGTGGTGGCAGACACCTATAATCCCAGCTACTCGGGAGGCTGAGGCAGGAGAATCTCTTGAACCTGGGAGGCCAAGGTTGTAGTGAGCCAAGATTGCATCATTGCACTCCAGCCTGAGCGACAACAGTGAAACTCCATCTCAAAAAAAAAAAAAACAAAACAAAACAAAAAAAACTGGAGTTAATTACTATCAATTGGAACAAATCCCATTTGCTTTCTCCACTGTATACTTAATATTTTCCCTTTTGGTAAATAAGCAATTTGAGAAAATAATTGCTTGTATTGATTTTGAGTTAGCCTAAATAACCATATTTCCAAAATACTTTCTCCAGATGTACTTGATTTTTGTTTGTGCTTATAGGGAAGGACAGCTTTGCATTGGTCCTGTAACAATGGATACCTTGATGCCATTAAATTACTGCTAGACTTTGCTGCTTTCCCTAATCAGATGGAAAACAATGAAGAGAGGTAAGTTGTTGCCTTTTTTTTTTGAGACCGAGTCTTGCTCTATTGCCCAGGCTGGGGTGCATTGGCACGATCTCAGCTCACTGCAACCTCCACCTCCTGGCTCCCATCAGGAGGGCAGGACACACGCGTAAAATATCAGGGTCAAGAAATGACCAAAGTGCAGAAAGTATTTTTTAAAACAGTGCAACAGCTACTTAAAGCTATTCAGTGCACTGTAGAGCCTGGAGCTCTACACAAGCTTATGCTCTTAATACAGCAGGAATGCCCTTGGTTTCCTGATCAGGAACCTTAGACTTAGAGTTACAGGAGCAGGTAAGTTGCTGCCTGAAAAGGATATGAGCAAGGTCACTTTACTAATGTTACTATTTTGAGCACCTGAGCGCTGTGGTGCGTATGCTCTGCCTTGTATCCTGTTTATCTGCCAAATTGTGGTGAGTCAGACCACCATCTTCTACACCTGAAGGGAATTCAGGAGATTTAAAGGAGAAGGAAAAACAGGAACCAGAAGAACAGGGAGAGGCTTCTCTCCCCACTTCATTCCTTCTTGTGAGGAATAAGGAAGATTTTTTTCTAGTGAGGATAAGGACAGACCAGAGCCTTTTCCTCCCCCAATAGAAAAGCTATTGCCCTATTTTCCTCCACGCTTAAAGGGACCTGCATCTGTTGGCTCCATTCAGCCAATATCACCCCCCACAATGGGATTTTATAGCTCTTCAGGATTTTATCTATTGCCTAGGGCAAGCACACATTTTGCAGATGAGAATATTTTAGTCCTCCTTCTGACTTCTGGCTAACATTAGGTCAGTGAAGTTCTGATTGATGGAGCCAAGGAGTTCATTTAGGGCAGGGGAATGTATTACATATTTCAGAGGTTTCTCCTGATGGAAAGGATATTATCAGTCAGTGGACAAAGAGATGCCACTGTGTAGCATGAAAACATAAGGAGAAGCTAAGATGAAAGTTCAGGGTTTAATCTAAATGCAGATTGCGTGGCTAATATAAGGTCAGTAGAATTATGTTAGGGTTATTTCCCAAGAATCCAGGCCCCATAAAAAGGACCAAGCAGCATGTGAAATCTAAGGAAGAGTGATTCTTGGTGGTCTTAGATCTAGGCATATTCTCATAATTTGTAGGTAACAACTGAGTTTGTGATCAGACTTCCATACCTGAGGTCCTGTTACAGGAAAAGAGTCTCGATACAAACCCCAAGAGAGGGTTCTTGGATCTTATTCAAGAAAGAATTGAGGGCGAATCTGCCGTGCAAAGAGAAAGCAAGTTTTTTAAGAAAGTAAAGGAATAAAAGAATGGCTATTTAAGAAAGTAAAGGAATAAAAGAATAAAAGACAAGAACACCCCCCTAGGGATGCTGGTTGCCCATTTTTATGGTTATTTCTTGATGATATGCTAAACAAGGGGGCATTATTCATGCCTCCCCTTCTTAGACCATATAGGGTAACTTCCTGACGTTGCCATGGCATTTGTAAACTCTCATGGCACTGGTGGGAGTGTAGCATGAGGACAAGCAGAGGTCGCTCTTGTTGCTATTTTGGTTTTGGTGGGTTTTGGCCGGCTCCTTTACTGCAACTTGTTTTATCAGCAAGGTCTTTATGGCCTGTATTTTGTGCTGACCGCCTATCTCATCCTGTGACTCAGAATGCCTTAACTGTTCGGGAATGCAACCCAATAGGTTTCAGCCTCATTTTACCCAGCTCGTCTTTAAGATGGAGTTCACACATCTCTGACAGTCACTCTGACCTAGGTCTTTGTGTTAGTTTTCATGTTTCATGGATGCTGAAACTAAAATGGCTCCTGCTAAAATACCATCCCCATCCTCTTAGCCACCACTCATTCTTTCTTTCTATTAGTTGGTGGGAAACTTTATTGAGAAGGGATTTCTCTAGGTGCATCTCAGAGGAAACATGTTTCTGTTTTCTAGAACTGACCCCTGTACCACTTCTTTCAGAAACTCTCCTCATTAGAGGGAGAGCTGAAGATATCTGTCTCCCATTGAAACTCTTAAAAAAAAAAAGAGAAAGTTTAATAATCCTCAGACAGTGATGATTTGATTTGTTTCTATAAAAATGTATTCTGTATAACAGCATTTACCATCTGACTGCTATATTTTTAAGGAAACAATGAAATTTTTTGTAACTCAGTTTCCATTTATATGCTAAACCTTGAATATGAGACGTAAGTAACTGCATGAATTAAGATGTGTACTGCCTCCTGGAATAAACATATGTTAATTACAAACCAAAAGACCAAAGGAAAAATTGTTCTAACTGTACTTGCTGATCTATAGATAAAAAGAGATAGTAGCAATAACCCAGTCTCTGTTAATGTTTCATCAGCAATGCACCTTGATGTACAAATGTCAGAACTTGGCACTGCCTTTTACATTTATTGACATTCCAGTCTAGGCATTCTACCATCCCATCAGACCATTCCCACATGGCAGGTCCAATTGTATCTTGTCTGTTGTCTATATCCACCTTGTTTCTTGGTTGGTTACCATCAGTGTAGTGCTAATTTTTACTTCTCATACATTGACACTAGTCAGTTGATGAACACCGTGTAGACATAATTTTTGCCAACTTCTGCTGACTTTCAGTTAATAACTATCTGACAGACTCACCCCAACACTGATGGAATATTCACAGTACTTGAATTTTTCTTAATTGAATTTGGGATAAAGAAAGATTCAGTAGTAATAATCACAGTGTGTTTTATGATCACAGTTGTTTTAAACACTGAGTATAGACTTCAGTCTTAAAATGATGTTAGATATTTGGATTATGTCTCTGAATAAAAATTGAGAATCCCACTTTGAATAAACCAATTACAAAAATATGTTTTAGAGAAAATTGGGGACATTTGATTATGAAGTGGTCCTTAGATTTTACTAAGGAATTCCTATTAACTTTGTTAGTATAATAATGACATTGTGGTTATGCCCATATTCTTTACAGATGAATACTTAAACACATAGAGATGAAGATGTTATAGGAAAGTGGTCCTGATCCCGACCCCAAGAGAGGGTTCTTGGATCTCTCACAAGAAATAATTCAGGGTGAGGCCACAGTGCAAAGCAAAAGCAAGGTGTTTTGTTTTGTTTTTGAGACAAAGTCTCACTCTGTTACCCAGGCTGGAGTGTAATGGCGTGATCTCAGCTCACTGCAAACCTCCACCTCCTGAGTTCAAGCAATTCTCCTGCCTCAGCCTCTTGAGTAGCTGGGACTACAGGCGCACACCACCACACCTGGCTAATTTTTTTTGTATTTTTAGTAGAGACGGGGTTTCATCATTTTGGTCAAGTTGGTCTCGAACTCCTGACCTCATGATCCGCCCGCCTTGGACTCCCAAAATGCTGGGGTTATGTAGGTAACCCCCATCTGGGTACCAAGGAAGAAGAGCTAAGCAGATCCCTGGCACAATTATTGCCTGAAGAATATCTTAGTTTATAGTGTTACTACTCAGTTATTTCTTTGATATAATCCTTTATATATAATCATGTATTAGTTTATAGTTGGAACAATTAGTGCCTGAAGAATATCTTACTACTCAGTTATTTCCACAGATATATATAATTATATCTTAGTTTATAGTCAGAGGAAGGTCTAGAGCAGACATGGTACAGAGCATAATTTAAGGGAAAAACAGACCAGGACAAGAATCTATGGCCTATGCGGTAGTGCCCCTGCCTAAAAGGGCATGCGCTACATGGCAGGCTGGCCCAGACGTCAGCATTCAGTATCGTAAAGATACCTGCTGTATGGCAGGCTTGGAGCAAGAGTCACTCCTCCTGTAAGGGAGTTGTAGTATCTCACGTCCAGTTCTTGTGGAAAGCTGGCCTCAGGTTGGCAAGCCTGCAAGCATCCGAGGGCTTAAAACCCCTCCGGTATAATCACACCTAGGTGGCTTGTATATCGTGTCAGCTCTGTTGCTATGTACTGACTCAAAGCATTCTTCTATAGGAATCATTGGAAGCTGCCAGCAGGTGACTGTATACCTTGTCAGCTCTCTTGCCACTCTGCTGACTCAGAGCATTCTCCTATAGAATTCCTTAGAAGTAGCCTGCCCTTAGATAAGAGATGTTGCACACTGGAACCTCTTCACTGTGCACGGCCCAACTCCTTGCCTCGGTGAACTAACGGGGGTGGACCCTTGCTGTGCACTGCCCACCTCCTAGCCTAGGTGACCTAATGGGGGTGGGCCCCTTGCTTACCGCTCATGTGAATGTCTTGACCCTATCACTATCCTTAAGATGACCTCCCTCACTACCCTGCCTCCTAACCTATACCCAATAAATACAGACTCTCCTGGACGTTCAGGGCCTCACCTGTCTCCGCTTAAGTGGTGTTGTGCTTTCTTTGTCCTTCTGTGTCTTGTCTCTTTATTTCTCAGATCCAGCGCCTCAGCACAGTGATAGGGGACACCCCACGACCCTAGTAGGGCTGGACCCTGCAGATTACAGACGTGTGGCACTGTACCAGGCCACAAAAGCAAGTTTATTAAGAAAGTAAAGTAGTGAAAGTACAGTTACACCATAGACAGAGTAGGGTGTTCCCAAAAGTAAGAGGAGGAACGCATCCACCCTAGGTACAATATTTGTTTATGTACAGGATAAAAAAAGATTATGGGGAGATATGCTCTGCTACAAAGGTTTGTGATAAAGGATTCGTTTTCTTAATTACTATATTTTGCAAGAATCAATATTTAAAGCAAAATTAGGAATGCCTTTGTTCTCAAGATATCAGGATATTAGGATACTCCCAAGTCTGAATCTGTTTAGTAAACATTCTCTATCTGTTCCCTTCAACATCTAGAGACTAGGAATAGCTTTCTGGGAATGCAGCCCAGCAAGTGCCAACCTCATTTTCCTAGCCCTCACTCAAGATGAAGTGAGTCCTCTGGTTCCAACACCTCTGACAAAATGATAGGAGTTCCAAGATTAGCTGTAAAATACTCCAGCAAAAATAAAAAGGAAGGGCTAGATGAAGCAAATGTAGCAAAAAATTGTTAAATTTAGGTAATGAGTATGTAAAGGTTTATTATGTTATTCTCTCTACATTTTTTATGCTTAAAATTTTTCATAAGAAAATATAATTTTTTTCAGGAAAAATGTTTAAGAGATAATTTTCAATCCAGAAGTAGCCTGAGAGGTCTAGTTCTTCCCTTCTTCCTTCCCCTCAGAGAAGTTAAGAGAATGCCCAGGGTCACACAGGCCCCCTGACTCCCAGATCAGCATTCTTTAGGGTATATTAAGCTACATGTTATTTCCTTCTATAATATTTGTAGGTAAAGGAATAATTTTGGCCCTACATTTTATAAACCAGATTTGTTAACCCATGTTTATATATTATGTAAAGGATACTACATATCAATAATTATAGAAAAAAATGGTCAGACTTACCAAATACGTATGTTGTTTGCACATTGATTTTAAAAATCATCTTATTCTATAGGAAACATATTAAGTAATAGATATATGTGTTGTGGAAGGATTACTGAACTGGGAAACATGTTATCTTAGTTCTAGTCTGCATTCTGTAGAAACAGTTTACATAACCTTTGGTAAGTTGCTTAACTTACTTTCTGGATCTGTTCATCCATTTATAAAATGAAGGTATTGAACTAAATGAGCTCTAAAATTTAATTTAGCTCTAGTATTACTTGATTTAATGACTCCATGAAAATTTTTTCCATTAGAGAAAGTATAGTCATGAAAGGCATTTCAGAACATGTAGCAACAATTTTTTTAAAATTCTCCTGAATTTAAAAAATGCTATCTACTTATAAATAATGTTTTAAAGTTTATATAGATGCCTCTACTTACAGCCTTCTGGTCCCTGAACAGTAAGTGACGAATGAAGCTATCCTAAAATGGAGGTTTCTTAATTTCAACGTTTGGGGTTTCCTCCCAAACTCAGTTTCCTTACTAAAGTGATCAAAACACTCTTAAAGTGAAAACCTCTTCCTTTTATGTTTTAACTGTGACTGTTAGGTAAGTTTTGAAGAGAGATCATTTCTTTTCTATAATTGGATGATTTTCTGTGACTAATCATGCATCTATATAATCATCCTTTTTTCTGCCTCATCTGATGTTTTCTCCTAAGACCTCTGATGGCACTGGTCTGGTCAAAGTCATCCTGAGAGGAATCAGCATCAGTGGTAATCATGGGATGGTCATAGATACTAGTTTGGGTCCTATGGAGATCATATTTTTGATAAGCAGCTGTGGTATTGCAAACCATACAGCAGTAAATTTCCTATAATAATAACAATCAGAGGTGACATTTATTTACTGCTTCCTTTGGGCCAGGAACGTCACTAACCTCTTTACACTTATTATTCCATTTTCTCCTCCTACCAAGATTGCAAAGTATTACATTGTTTAACAGATGAGGAAAACTAAGACTTAGAGATGTAAACTAAATTGTTTAAAAAGTGACCATCATTATTGCCATTGTAGGATGGTAGAATTTTGGGGATTTTTTTACTTCAATTTTTGTATTTTTTTTTTAGTGTTTGAGTTCTTAAAATCTATATAATTTTGCAGCCAGGCGCAGTGGCTCATGCCTGTAATTCCAGCAGTTTGGGAGGCCGAGGCAGACGGATCACCAAGTCAGGAGATCGAGACCATCCTGGCCAACATGGTGAAATCCCGTCTCTACCAAAAATACAAAAATTAGCCAGCCATGGTGGCATGCACCTGTAATCTATCTCAATTACTCAGGAAGCTGAGACAGAAGAATTGCTTGAATCCAGGAGGCAGAGGTTGCAGTGAGCCGAGATCATGCTATTGCACTCCAGCCTGGGCAACAGAGCAAGACTCCGTCTCAAAAAAAACAAAACTATATCATTTTGAGAAAGTAATTTTTCTTTAAAAAAGGAAATCATATCTCCCAAGATATGAACAGTGGTTAATTCTCAGGGTGGGAATATGGATGATAGCTATTTTCTTCTATGTATTTACCCAATTTTTTATGTTTCCAAAATTTAAAAAGAAATATTTTTTAAAAAGAATGAGCTGGGTGCAGTGGCTCATGCCTGTAATTTCAACACTTTGATAGGCCAGAAGGATTGCTTGAGCTCAGGAGTTTAAGGACAGCCTGGACAATATGGCAAAATCCCCACTCTACAAAAAATATAAAAATTGGCTGGGTGAGGTGGCTCACACCTGTAATCCCAGCACTTTGGGAGGCTAAGGCGGGCAGATCACAAGGTCAGGAGTTGACCAGCCTAACCAATATGATGAAACCCCGTCTCTACTAAAAATACAAAAAATTAGCTGGGTGTGGTGGCATGCACCTGTAATCTCAGCTACTCAGGAGGCTGAGACAGGAGAACTGCTTGACCTCAGGAGGTGGAGGATGCATTGAGCTGAGATGGCGCCATTGCACTCCAGCCTGGGCAATAAGAGCAAAACTCCATCTCAAACACACACACACACACACACACACACACACACACACACACACACAGACAAAAATTAGCCAGTCTTGGTGGTGCATGCCAGTAGTCCCAGCTACTTGGCGGTCTGAGGTAGAAGGATTACTTGAGCCCAGGAGGGGTCAAGGCTGCAGTAAGCTGTGTTCGTGCTACTGCACGCCAGCCTGGGCAACAGAGTGAGACCCTGTCTCAAAAAAAAAAAAAGAATGTGCTGAAAACAGCACACCTAGAAAGTTGCCATTTGAGATTCAAATATACAACAATATGGCAATAATATTCATTCTTTCTAAATAATGTATTTATCAAAACAATGATGTATGTACACTGCACAAAATTTAAAATAACGTTCACTGAAGACTCAATGTGCCTCCTGCCCCTGCCTCTGAGACAGCCAGTTTTCTCCCCAGAGGCATCACTGTTAGCAGTTTCTTAGAAAACTTCTGGAAGTGTATTTTTCGTAGATAAGCATACAGGAATATTTTTTTATGCAGATAGAACATGCCATAAAAACTCCTGTTTCTTGCTTTTTTTTTTGTCTTCATTTAACAAGGTGTCCTGGAGATTGTTCCTTATTTATTCATAGATAGCAGTAATGACTGCATATTACAGATGTCCTCATTATATGGACAGCCTGTGCATTGTTTAAGCAGTCCTCTGTTGATAGATATTGAGGTTGTTTCTCTTCTTTTACTGTAACTAACTGTACTTCCATGAGTAATCTAGTACATAAAGCATTTCACATGAGAGCAGATCTGTAGGATAAATTCCTAAGAGTAAAATGGCTATGTCAAATGGCATATACATGAATAATTTTGATAAACATTGCCAAATTGTCCTCCCTAGAAGTTGAAGTAGTATATGAGAGAGCCTGTCTCCCTCTGTCCTTGCCAGTGCAGTGTGTTAGCAACCTTGCTGATTTTTGTTAATCTGATCATCAGTGAAAGGTACTCTCTCATGTTAGTCTTAATTCATATTTCTTTTAAATGAGTGAGATTGAAGTTATCTTTATATGTTAAGAAGTATTTGTATTTACTCTTGGGGGAACTATTGTCTTTGTCTTTGATGTTTTCTTTACCCTGTAAAATTTTGTTATTTTTATGTTGTCAGATTTGTCAGTCTTCTGACAACCAAAGCCAAACCTTTTATGGTTTCTGAATTTTTTTTTTTTTTCTTTTTTGGAGATGGCATCTCATTCTGTCACCCAGGCTGGAGTGCAGTGAGTGGTGTGATCTCGGCTCACTGCAACCTCCACCTCCCAGGTTCAAGCAATTCTCCTGCCTCAGCCTCCTGAGTAGCTGGGAATATAAGTGTGCACCACCAAGCCTGGTTAATTTTTGTATTTTTCATAGAATCGAGGTTTTAACCATGTTGGCCAGGCTGTCTCGAACACCTGACCTCAAGTGATCTGGCTGCCTTGGCCTCCCAAAGTGCTGGGATTATGGGCGTGAATCACTACACCCAGCCCTTTTATAGTAGCCACTATGCCCAGCCGTTGTATGGTTTCTGAATTTCATATCCTTTTTTTAATAAAATACTTCCTGTATCATTTTTTTAATCTTCCTGGCTTCTTCTGGTACTTTTATGGTTCCTGTTTTAAATATTTAGATCTTTGCTCTATCCAGAATTTATTTTGGTATAAAATGTGGTATAAGAATCTCCTTTTTTTCACCAGATGGCTACCTGGTTGTCCATCACTATTTAGTAATCTATCTTTTCTGCAAAGACTTAAAGGGCCATTCTTATCATATACTAAATTTCTCCATTTGAAACTCTAATTAACTATCAGTAATCATGGGCTCAAATTTATGAATCTCACAATTATGATTTTCACTAACTTTTTAGATATGGACAGGGAATTATTTGGCACACAGGGAAGAAGGGAAGAGATCATGTGCTTCTAATAGGCCCCTCTTTGTGTGCCAGGGAGTAAAACCTGGGAACTGACATGGTTAGCAGCACAAAGCACCTGACTCACAGTCATAGTCAACCCTATTTTGTGCCCCTTGGAGGAAAAGAAAAACAGCCCTGGTATAGAGAAGGTGGATTTGCTTGGGGAATATTCCGCATGTTAGAATGAAGTTTCCTTCTGCTGCATAATATTTTCAGTTTAACTGTGCCTTGAACTACATTCTGAAATTTAAAAAAAAGGAAATCTTCCTCCCATTTCAGATACACACCCCTTGATTATGCTTTGCTTGGTGAGCGTCATGAAGTGATCCAATACATGTTGGAGCACGGTGCCCTGTCCATTGCAGCCATACAAGACATCGCCGCCTTCAAAATCCAAGCCGTCTACAAAGGGTACAAGGTCAGAAAAGCCTTCCGAGACCGGAAAAATCTCCTCATGAAGCATGAACAGTTGAGAAAAGATGCTGCTGCCAAGTAAGTGTGAACTATGCAGATTGCGTTCTTGCCACCCAGAATCAGGGTGGAAGCAGGGCTGGGTGGTAGGGGTGGCCAGGAGAAGGAAGCAGATGAGAATCTGAATTACTGTTGGTCCCTGCAACCTGGTCACCTCCTCCTCCTCAGCACTCCGTCTTCCAGGTCTAAGGCTGCAGTGAAGGACATAGGCCTACCCTCTCTTTGGTGTTGATTCTTCTAAATTAGTTTCAGCCCAGGGACAAACCACTGTCACTCCCACCCATGGCAGAGAGTTGGGGTTGGGACTGCTAGAATAAGAGCTGAAAAGAGATAACTTCTTTTCTTGCCCTTAAAAGAAACATATTAATCTCTGGCCTACTTTCACTAGACCAATCTAAGTCTGGTTTTAATTTGATTAAAGCAACCAACTTGTATAAATAGCTTACTCTCCTTCACTCATTTCTTAATACATCTGTACTGAATAATTTACTCAAGAAATATTGATTGCTTTGGGAGGCCGAGGCGGGTGGATCACAAGGTCAAGAGATCAAGACCATCCTGGTCAACATGGTGAAACCCCGTCTCTACTAAAAATACAAAAAATTAGCTGGGCATGGTGGCGCGTGCCTGTAATCCCAGCTACTCAGGAGGCTGAGGCAGGAGAATTGCCTGAACCCAGGAAGCGGAGATTGCAGTGAGCCGAGATCGTGCCATTGCACTCCAGACTGGGTAACAAGAGCGAAACTCTGTCTCAAAAAACAAAAGAAAAAGAAAAAGAAATACTGATTGAATGCTTACTATACAGACAAAAGGCTTGGCTACAGCCTAGAGAGAAAATGGCAACTAAAAAAGCAACCTCTGACTCCCAGGTTCAAGTGATTCTCCTGCCTCAGCCTCCCGAGAAGCTGGGATTACAGGTACCTGCCACCATACCTGGCTAATTTTTGTGTTTTTAGTATAGATGGGGTTTCACCATGTTGGCCAGGCTGGTCTCGAACTCCTGACATCAGGTGATCTGCCCGCCTCGGCCTCCCAAAGTACTGGGATTACAGGTGTGAGCCAATGAGCCCGGCCTAATTTTTGTACTTTTAGTAGAAATGAGGTTTTGCCATGTTGGCCAGGCTGGTCTCGAACTCCTGACCTCAAGTGATTTGCCCACTTTGGCATCCCAAAGTGCATGAGCCTCTGCGCTCGGCCTAGGCAGATTCTTGAAGGATAACTTCTTGGCTGTATCTCAAATGTTTCTAAATCTTGAGTTCTTCCAGCTCTTAAATCCTTCTATATCTTACCTACAAGGGGGAAGCATAAGTGTAGTAAATAATCATTAAAAGTAATAATAAGAGGCAAAATAAGTCATTTTAATGAGAAGTTAAATACCACTATGTACTGGAATGCTAATCATCATGTCAGCCTTCAGTAGATAAGATTTACAGAAACACACAATTTTCTGTGACTCTGAAGCTACTGAAGTAGATGGCATCCCAGGAAATACTATTTTGCACTCTTCTCTTCATGACCCCTCCCTTCTCTTCACTTTTGCCAAAGAATCCAGTATCAACCTAAAAGCCTCTGCACACCTCCCTTTCCAGCCTTCTTATAGAAGTTCTCTGCGTGTGAGTGGCAACTGTAAGTAGATAATACACATGACAAATTATCCTGAGTTGCAGGATAATTTGTAAATAGATGGAATGTTATACTTCTTTCTACTGATGTTTCCATAAACTCCAGTTTAATGTGTGAGAATCTATTTTCAGAATTTGAAGTCAGATCTATCTGACTACAAGGTGGGACTCAACACAGGCAACACAACTGACTTTGTCCCTTAAGGGAGGGTGTAGATCTCCAGGAGTTAGACTTAAATGCAGAGAAACTGATTTCTTTTATTTCTAAAAAGTTATTTCTTAAAATCTAAGTCAGTGTTTAATTTTGCTTTTAATTCCTGTGTTAAGAAACAAACATCAGGATGCGAAATCAGTCCTTGCTGCTGCTGCCTTATTGACTAAGGTGGTCCAGGCACAGCATGTCACCTTGGTGTACCTTTCCGAGTTTATTATGTTAGGATGGCAGAAATCATCTTCCTTAAAATGAGGATGTGAAAAGAACTTATTAAACTTAAGTAAAGTGATTTCTAATTTACTGAAAGAGAATCCGGGAGAGAAAAAAGTTATGGTGATATTTACTAAGACAGGTAATGTTGGAAAATGCTATTTAAGGAATATCTATAATCCATTTAAAAGCACTTCATAATTCACACTGCACTGCCTATGTTGTTGCCAAAATGAACATTACTATAATTTACCTGCCAAAGCACACAGTTGAGTGTACGCTAAAATAAAACCATATTTATGTTGATCACCCTTCTTCCTTGAAGCTTGCTTTTTGCCAGTTTCTTATTTCACTTGAATCTCAGATCTCCTGCAACTCTCTGACTTTTCCTTCTCACGGCTTTTAAATTATTCCATCTCCACACTGCGGTCAGCCCTGGAGGCAAACTTCTTAGATCTACTCATGTTATACTTTTTTCCAATGAAAATCTATCTACTCTTAAATTTTAAATTAATTCATTCCTGTACGTAGCCCCCTAATCTGTCTCACATCCTGACCTCCCGGAAGTCTCATATCTTCAGTTGCCTACTGGGCATTTCTGCTATGCTTTTGTCACTTGGCAACACTTTAGATTGTTGGACATTTCCATTTGCATGTCCTGTTTTCACTATAACTTCAGACTCACTGTGTGAGTCTGCAACACACAGACATGCAAATGGAAACAGCTCATACCGCAGCCTGTCTCTCTTCTGGCCTTTTTATGTGCTTGCTAGTGCTGCTAACATAGATTGTGTGCATTCCTCCTTTGATATCCTTTTGCTTTCATTCCTCTGTGCCACCACCGCTATATACAAGCCCTCATTCTTTTTTTTTTTTTTTTTTTTTTTTGAGATGGTATCTTGCTCTGTCGCCCAAGCTGGAATGCAGTGTCTTGATCTCAGCTCACTGCAATCTCCATCTCCTGGGTTCAAGCCATTCTCCTGCCTCAGCCTCCCAAGTAGCTGGAATTACAGGCATGTGCCACCACGATTGGCTAACTTTTGTAATTTTAGTAGAGACAGGGTTTTACCATGTTGGCTAGGCTGGTCTCAAACTCCTATACTCAGTCCACCCACCTCGGCCTCCCAAAAGCACTGGGATTACAGGTGTGAGCCACCATGCCCAACCCCCTTGTTCTTTTTTTTTTTTTTTTTTTTTTTTTTTTTTGAGACAGAGTTTCACTCTTGTTACCCAGGCTGGAGTGCAATGGCGCGATCTGGGCTCACCGCAACCTCCGCCTCCTGGGTTCAGGCAATTCTCCTGCCTCAGCCTCCTGAGTAGCTGGGATTACAGGCACACACCACCGTGACCAGCTAATTTTTTGTAATTTTTAGTAGAGACGGGGTTTCACCATGTTGACCAGGATGGTCTCGATCTGCCGACCTCGTGATCCACCCGCCTCAGCCTCCCAAAGTGCTGGGATTACAGGCTTGAGCCACCGCGCCTGGCCAACCCCCTTGTTCTTAAATACCAGCCATGGTGCTCTGTAAGATCCTTCAACATTTCACTTCCACTTAAATTTCCAAGTCCCATTTCTCTCCACTACCACCACCCTCCCACTTGATGTCTTAGCCATCCTGAACTTCCTTCACTTCTTCACTTACCATGCTGTCTGGAAGACATGAGCTCCTTCCTGGCTAGTATATGTGATTGAGTATGTGTCTTAGAGTTACATCATCACGTCCAGTTTTGGTCACCCAGTTCAAACTCTTGTGATGCTTAAGTCCCTTCTACAAGAGGTTGTTCTGTGTCTCAAAAAAGTCAAGTGACAAGAAATCCTGTACCTCTCAAGACAGCATATTCCATTAGTGGAGGGCTCTGTCTAGCAAAAGTTATTTTCTACCCTTTGGTCTTGAAGCTACCCCTGGAAGCCAAAGAGAAAAATCTAAATACTTTTTCATAAATCAACTTTCAGATTTTTTTTAAATGCTTGTAACACTTCCATTGCTACTGCAGGTCTCCTTTTCACTTCGTAGTTAGTCGATGCTCCCTGAACATCACCAGATTGTTAATGGTTGGCCCATGCGTCTGGCTCATCTGCTCACAAAGTCATCTGGCCTATAGGGAATTACTTCCATACTTCTATTTCACGCCATTACACTTCTCAGAGCCTCAGATTTTCATCAGTAAAATGGAAAGAAGGTTTCTTAATTCAAGGTGGGCTTCAGGGATCCACGAATACCCTGAAATTGTACACAGCATTTTGTGTGTCAGGAGCACATATGCATTTTGGGGGAAAGGATCTATCAATTTTTTTTTTTATCACATTCTCCAAAGGGGAACCATGACTCACACACAAAAAGACAAAAACCACTGGACTAAATGATCTCTGACATCCCTCCCAGCTCTAACATTCTGTAAATCAAAGGTCCTACAGCACACAACATTTTCTTATTCCCTTGAGAGGGAATTAAAGATCAAATATTTCTATGCCTGTTATTCAGCGACAATGAAGAGATAGAATCTGACAAACCCCTAGACACCGTGCAACACCAGCTGAAAAGGTTAGAGCTAAATCTTTTTTGTCTCACGAGGTAGTATTTTCCTCTCACTGGAAATGATCCAACAGAAGTGGAATTATCATCTCTCCAGGATAGTATATAAGGAATTTTTTAAATCATGAGGAGATGCCTATAATTGCAACACTTTGGGAGGCCAAGGCAAGAGGATCGCTGGAGCCCAGGAGTTTCAGACCAACCCAGGAATTAAGACATAGTGAGACCCTATCTCTACAAAAAAATTTAAAAACTAGACAGCAGGCCGGGCGTGGTGGCTCAAGCCTGTAATCCCAGCACTTTGGGAGGCCGAGGCAGGTGGATCACGAGGTCAGCAGATCGGGACCATCCTGGTCAACATGGTGAAACCCCGTCTCTACTAAAAATACAAAAAATTAGCTGGGCACAGTGGTGCGTGCCTGTAATCCCAGCTACTCGGGA